GGCAAGGGGGTGGTCCAACCGACCCCCCCCCCCCCCCCTACACATTAGAAGCTGGCAAACGCCGCACACATGCGAGGGCTATGATAAGCATTGGAACATTTTCTGAGTTGGTCGGTCACTCTGACCACCTGATCAGGTGACCTGATCTTGAGAGACCTTGGTCCTGAATTTTTCATAACATGCGTAAAAAAGGTGTTTGATAAGGCGTGCCAAAAACAGTGGCGCGAAGCGTCACCTTTTTGAGATATTAGCGAAAACTGCAGGTGGTGTTCATACACCGCTCCCCTAGCACGGCGCGGCTAGTAGCATGATGAACAGGTTTTGCAAAAGATGAAATAAATTATCCCTAGAACGCCTAGGGGGGAGGGGGTTGTATCAACCCCCCCCCCCCCTGAGGTTTTTTCGAAGTGCACGCTAAACGGCTTGTCGTAGCGGGCTGAAATTTTCAATACCCTCTGGGGCAACCTTTGCGCATCTTTTGCCGAAAAAAAAATTGATCGGGTCATGTCAGGTCACGGAGTTATGACGTCATAAGAGGTACAGCCTCCGGCCGGATTTTCACAAACTGAGTGCCAACGCCCGAGGTTTCCTGCCGGTGGTACGGACATCGGTTGATGGATCGTGATGAAACTTCCCATGCATGTTGGGACAAGTATTGGCTATCATATGGTATAAGAAATTTGACCGGGTCAGGTCAGGTCACGGAGCTATGACGTCACAAGAGGAACAGCGTCCGGTACTATTTTTGAAAAGCGCCCGAACCACTATTTTGCTAATTCTTGTCACCTCAATGGGAATATGCAGCAATATTAGCTTCTATAGGGAGCAAATGGACCTCCCAAATCCAAAAATACAATCAGATTTCAAAAATTTAAATTTTGATTTTTCGAATTTCTGCCGCCGACTGTGACCTTGCCGACTTCCGGCGCTCCCAACGCGCCATTTTTAGAGCTAGGGAAACGAAATACATACCAAACGATAGAGAATTGATCAAGGAACACGATAGTGAAGGTTTCAAGTCGATATCTCCCACCGTTTTGCCGCAATCGCCGCGGAAAGTTGAAAAAAGTCTATTTTTCCGAAAATTTGACCTTTGACCGGTCAAAAGTAGGTCAAATGTTGACCTAGGACCAAAAAATATACCACCAATCGCGAGATCTCGTTGAGAGCAATCCGTTGGTTTTTCCGCTAAGCTCTACGACCTTCCGTTTCGAAACGCCAGGGGGGGGGTCGTAACAACCCCCCCCCCTGGTCGTTCGTGTTATGAGAAATGGCCTGGTCGTGCGAGGGTTATAAATACGTGCATATATCTCGCATAATTAACCGCTATTCAATCCTTTCACGTGAATAATATGTACCTGCCTAAACTGAAATACTATTGAGCGATTACATTCCTACCTTTATATATAAAATTTAATTGTGTATTTGAATACATTGTCGTTTTTTATATATACTAGATGGCATATTTTGCGCTATAACTGTGCGTTTTGATAGATGCGTTTGATGGGGCATTAGTTTGGGTGTGGGAACTTTTGATTTTTATTTGTCTTATTTTGTCGGAGTTGGATATTTGTTTGAACGGCATGGTATGCTGGTGCTGGTTGCGGGTTGTTAGAGCCTTTCTCATGGTTTGCCTTTATCGAACTCAAACCCACCCTATCCTACCCTAACCTACCCATACCCTACCTTACTCATAACCTACACATAGTTACCCTTGTCATACTCGATTAAAGTAACGTACCAAATTTGAGCGCAATCGGCCCAGCCGTTCTTGAGATATCAAACTGGCCCACTGCACGTGCGCACGCGCTAGCTTAGACTCCAGATGACTTGTGCCATCCACCTTTCTAAATTGTCCCCAACAGTGAACAAAATTTGAGCGAAATCGGCCCAGCCGTTCTTGAGATGTAGAAGCGGACCCCTCACGTGCGCACGTGCAATCGATCCACCCTACCTGTCAGAAATGACGATGCATCGCCAGGTTATTGTCCCCTCCACCCACAGTCCAAGTTTCAGCGCAATCGGCCCAGTAGTAGCCGAGTTATTCCTAGTACAATAATGTGCTGTTTACTGGTAGGCGCTTATTTTCAGTGTTTGGAATTCCCCTTTGCGGGCGGTGCATTGCAGCCCATGCTCTGATAGCTATTGTCAAAATTTGAATGGCCTGCCGGCCATAAGCCATCGATCCGATTTCGTCGGAAAATACGCGTAACGTTATCAAAACACGGTCGCATGCTTGAGTCATTTTCACAAAAGTTTATTGACTTTTCGATAATATTTTGGGTGGATATTGGTCAGAAAAGAATGCTCTTTCCGAATATGTAGGTTTCATAGCGATTGATCAACGTTTTCAAGACGTTTCGATGTTGTAAAGGACATCGCGCTCCGCGCAAAATAAATTTTCCAATTAATGTTTCATTATTAAGGAAATGGTACGGATCATCACTTTTTATTTGTTTTGCTATCATTACACGTACATTTGTCTGTAAAATGGTACCACACCGATTTCATTCCGTCAAACCGTTTTCCAGCGGCATCCATTTTCCCGTCACAATGCACGAAATCGGTCATTTTTTCACAACCGGGGGTTTTACCTTGCACGTGGCGCGTGCTATACTATGAAACCATATCAATGCGCTAGTTCCATCTCTCCTCTATCCATTGGTGGCAACCGCTTCTCGCTGCAATCACCCGTTGCCGAGATATCAAGCCGGAAAGCGAGCCGTGTCGGCCCGATTTTCGGCCGACCGCCGCTCTCGCCGACACCATGCTATCCCTATGAGAGCACCCTTTTGCACGTGCTGAAGGCGCACCCCTGGCCCGATCACGCCCAAATTTTAATACAAAGGCCCCCCACGCCCAAAGATTCGGCATGCCAAATTTCACGCCGATACGCGGCGCCTTTCAGGCGCAATAAGACACATAAGGCATGACACACGCACGGACAACTTATAAATCATAATATAGACTAGAGGGACAGCATTACGCGCAGCGTAATAAATCAATTTTCATTAAAATCGGCCAAGTAGCGGCCGAGTTATTACCAGAATAAATTTGGCGTCTCCTCCTGGCCGGCGGTGCTCTGTTCCGGTATTCATTGCCAAAGGTCAGTGACCTTCCGGCTCTGATTTCGCTCAGTTTGGCAAGCGAAGAAACTGAGGCTAATGCGCGTGCTCTCTGATCGGCGCCGGCCGCGGCCCAAAATGCCGCAAAGATGCGCCCGCCACGTGCAAACCACCGAACCCACCCCCACCAAAATTTAATACGACAAACAGATGCACGCGTCCGACTTCTGTCCAAAATTTCACCCCCGTAGCCCGCACCGTTCCACAGTAATAGCCCGCCAAGCGTGACTGACGCGTTACATACATACATACATACATACGGACATTTTGATTTTTATATATGTGAACTAGAGGGACAGCATTACGCGCAGCGTAAAGAGGGACAGCATTACGTGCAGCGTAATAAATCAAGTTTCAATAAAATCGGCCAAGTAGCGGCCGAGTTATGGCCAGAATAAATTTGGTGTCTCCCCCTGGCCGGCGGTGCCCTGTTCCGGTATTCATTGCCAAAGGTCAGTGACCTTCCGGCTCTGATTTTGCTCAGTTTTCGCAGCGAACAATCTGAGCCTACGGCGCGTGCTCTCTGATCGGCGCCGGCCGCGGCCAAAATTCCGCAAAGATGCGCCCGCCACGTGCAAACCGGCGAGCGCACCCCCACCAAAATTTAATACGACAAACAGATGCACGCGTCCGACTTACGTTCAAAATTTCACCCCCGTGGCCCGCACCGTTCCGGAGCAATAGCCCGCCAAGCGTGACTGACGCGTTACATACATACATACATACGTACAGACATTTTGATTTTTATATATGTAAACTAGAGGGACAGCATTACGCGCAGCGTAATAAATCAATTTTCATTAAAATCGGCCCAGTAGCGGCCGAGTTATGGCCAGAATAAATTTGGCGTCTACTCCTGGCCGGCGGTGCTCTGTTCCGGTATTCATTGCCAAAGGTCAGTGACCTGCCGGCTCTGATTTCCCTCAGTTTTGCAGCGAAGAAACTGAGCCTAAGGCGCGTGCTCTCTGCTCGGCGCCGGCCGCGGCCCAAAATCCCGCAAAGATGCGCCCGCCACGTGCAAACCGGCGAGTGCACCCCCACCAAAATTTAATACAACAAACAGATGCACGCGTCCGACTCGGCGCAAAAATTTCACCTCCGTAGCCCGCACCGTTCCGGAGCAATAGCCCGCCAAGCGTGACTGACGCGTTACATACATACATACATACATACATACATACGTACAGACGTTTTGATTTTTATATATGTAAATTACGCGCAGCGTAATAAATCAATTTTCAATAAAATCGGCCCAGTAGCGGCCGAGTTATTGCCAGAATAAATGTTGCGTCTCCTCTTGGCCGGCGGTGCTCTGTTCCGGTATTCATTGCCAAAGGTCAACGACCTCCGACTCTGTTTTCCCTCATTTTCGCAGCGAACAATCTGAGCCTAGGGCGCGTGCCGTCTGCTCAAAGCCGGCCGCGGCCAAAATATCGCAAAGATGCGCCCGCCACGTGCAAACCGGCGAGCGCACCCCCACCAAAATTTAATACGACAAACAGATGCACGCGTCCGACTTTAGTCCAAAATTCCACCCCCGTAGCCCGCACCGTTCCGGAGCAATAGCCCTTAAAGCGTGACTGACGCGTTTCATACAGACATTTTGATTTTTATATATGTAAATATCTGTCATGGATAGCACACAATTCCTTCCTCTCCATTAGGAGTACCGAAGTGTGAATCGTCGGAAACATGCATCGGTATTACCACATCGTCACGTGCTGAAGCCGAAAAACTCATTGTCGATCCAAACTTTTGGGTTGGATGAGTCACTTCGTTTTTTCGCTTTTTCGATTTTTAAAGTCGCTTTTTCGCTTTTTAGAGTCGTTTTTTCGTTTTTTCGCGTCGCTTTTTCGAGTTGCTGATTTCGTTTTTTCGGTTTCGAGCTGCCGTGGAGCTACACCAATGTTATCAAGTGAAGTTGATCGTCTACTGAAGCCGAAAAAGCGAAAAAACGAAACGAAAAACCGAAAAAGTGTGCCGTGGAGCCTGTACTTAAGAAGACGAAAGTTTCCTTTTTTCACGCAAAAATGTTAAATTTGACTGTTGTGGCCCTCTTGAAGCCAAGCGATTGGTTTTCACTGGAACCTGAAATGTCACTCGCGAGCGAGTCTTAAAATAGTTATCAAATGTTTTGTTTGCAGTGTTCTAGCTCCTCTACATCACGAGCTATGAGAAAAGTTGTGAAAGCACGCTACGAAAGGGACAATTTAACTTTTTATGTCCTGTGGTGATTTATTTTTGTGCTGGCCTAAAATATGACGAAATTTCTCTTGTTATGTTTAGCGTTCTTTCAAACGGCGCTGCCACTCCTCGCCACGCAGCCCAGCAGCCGAGTTTGAAAGGGCGTATAACGCCTACTCTACCTCTCGCCTCTACGTTTTCGATAGGGCCACCACCCTGGCGCGGTTCAAGTTGGGGGGGGGGGCCTTGAGTCCCCGCAGCTCTTCTACTTCTTCAATGCAGTACCCATTTTGTCTCATTGATAACCGAAGGTTTGTTGTCAATAGTTAAAACACTATTCTTTAGAATTGTGTTTTTCTATTGAAAAACAAATCTGAGTTCCCTGACAATTTGGCAAAAGCTGCCTGAGATCAGTACAACTTGATGCTCTAGAAAACGGCTGCTCCAAAAATTCTGATTTTTTCAGGATTTCTAGTATGACCATTGACCCTAGACCTGTTTTCTTGTGTGATGTTATTGTAACGTGATCTTACGATAACGACCCTTGAATATCGTTTTATTTTGCATGTTTGATCAAACTTGTCGGGCTCTGCGATGAAAAGATTTGTCAAAAAGTCCCAAAATCAAAATAAATAGATCTTCAAAAACTTAAAAGAGGTATAGATAAGAGTAAAGAGAGACACTTTTGTAGGTAGCACTCAACTTTTTCTCGTTTGGAAACAGTTTTTAGGAATTACAAGAATGAAAAAGTTACCCCGGCCGCGCCGGGGTTGGCTGAAAGTTACCCCGGCCACGGCCGGGGTGGCCGGGGTAGGTTCTCCACCCATGGATGCGTTGGCCGACTGAACGTGGGACTGTGACACTGTGTATGTACACTGCACAATTCACAGTGGTCTGTGAATTGTGCAAATAATTTCTACAGCATTGCAGCTATGAAGATATGTCAAGTACCGATTTAAAAAGGATTCATTATTAGAGCAAAGTGTTTCAAACATGTAGGACGTAGGTATTTTTATGGCTGCCATAAAAGGCAGTGCTAAAATCTTGCTAATTGAATGTCTCGTCTCTTTTATGGATATTGCCGTTATACACAATGTGACAATGGCGAAACGTACCCCATAAATCATCGAATTACCCAAGGTAAATGCGAGACAACTACCGGCGCAAGTGTTGAGTTATTGTGTGTAAAGACCATGCACAAAGGCATAGAATGACTCATTATATGCAAGGACCATTCACTACTACCTATGCAGTGTGCAATTGCATGCTGAGTTTTATACTTCTGTTATACGATACGAAAGGACCAAATGCCACTGAGGATAATAAGCGATAGGCTGTTGTTACGTGTCATTTGACGCCTATGCAATATGTATGCTTTGACCCATAGGTGATGGATGCGGAGGGTAAGAGGAGGCACAAAGGAGGCTGCCATTGCGGCCAGGTGCGGTATGAGGTCATCGCGCCGACCCAGGTCACTGCCGTCGAGTGTAGGTGAGGTCACCAGTCACAGTCATTTACTGCCGAAAATAAACTCATAACTCGTGGACTTCATTGTTCATAATGAAGCATCCTGCAACATTATTGCGGAAAAGTCATTTGTTAGCCCTCGTATGTATAGCTTTCTTGTCCTAATTGACCGTAGGCCCACAGCCTCGCATCCATGAGGGTAAAAACCTGCAGAATAGGCGTGCTTTGTGCGAGAGCAGTTCTTCCACATAAATTTTAGGATATTCTACAAAATATCTTCTCCAGTACAGCTTTTTTATTTCATAGTAGACAAGCATATTGAGCTTGTACTACACATGTGTCACCATTCGCCAATGATTTCCCTTCGAAGTTCAACAAATCCGGCTCGGCTACCAATGCTGCGTATGTCGTTCCCTTCCCTCGGCTCTGCAGCGCCCCCCCCCCTCTGACCTTCCTCCCCGCCCTGTCGGCAGCTGCGAGCCGTGCTCCAAGCGGCAGGCTCGCTACTTCCCCGTGCCGGCCGACCAGTTTCGGCTGGTGCAGGGTCACGGTCACCTGAGCACCTTCGGCGCCGGCACCGCCCGACACAGCTTCTGCAGCACGTGCGGCGTACAGAGCTTCTTCATACCGGCCGGGGGAGATAACGACGTGGTTGGTGAGTGGTCCGTGGTTGGTCCGTGGTCCTTGGTCCGTGAGTGGTCCTTGGTCCGTGAATGATCCGTGGTCGGTCGGTTTTCGTCAGTGACCCGTGGTCGGTCAGTGATCCGATGGGCGGTCCGTGGTCGGTCAGTGATCTGTGAGTGGTTCGTGGTCTGTGCTCCGTTGTCGGTGGTCTGTCCGTAGTCTCTCAGTGGTCCGTGAGTGATCCGTGGTCTGTTAGTGACCCTTGGTCCGTCCGTGGTCTGTCAGTGGTCCCATGATCTGTCTAGTTTCAATATCCGTTGGTCCGATGACTGTATTTAGTGGTCTGGTGAGCGATGTTGTCTGCAGAAAAAAACACCAATAATGCATTTTCCAATAGAAAGCGATGCCACAATGCTAGTTTTATGGAACAGCAGAGCCCCGGTATCGGGTCGGGCTTGTGAGACAGTGGTGGTTGTGACGTCAGGGCTGCGTACCTACCAGGGTTGACACAATCTCGGGTTAGTGGCACACGTCTCAGCGCGGCTGGTGAGCGCGGCTTTAGCAAGACGCTATACCTCACACACGGAGTCCATGCGTTTCCTCATATGCAGGGTCAAGGAGAGTCAGTCAAGCATTTCATGGCCAGTCAGGCGAATACCATCGAAACAATAGTCCCATTTTCTCATGCCTGTTGGCATTTGGAAGCATTGTTATGCAGTTGAAAAGCGCTAAAGGGCATTTCCATTGACCTGTACTTCAATGATGTTCAAGGGGAGGTCGCTGAGTGCGGCTCTGGCCTTCGTGTAACATTCATGTGATATTTATTATGCAATTAGCATTGCTGAAAGCGGCACGGATTGATAGTTGTCCCGGTGAAGTGTTGGCTATAATCCGAGTTTATAACTGAGTGCACTTTTGCTCCCCAGTAACCTTGATTTGCATTGTTAAATGCTGCTGATGGGCGAAGCCCATCACTCGCCATCCATTCCATGCAGTTGCTCGAGGAACTGGGGGCAGTGGGTAATCGGCCTGGTGGTCCGCGGGTCACCGACTCGTTAATTGAACTGCATTGCGTCAGGAATCGTGACTGTAAAGGAATGCAAAACTCCGTTCACATTACTGCATAGCGCGAACAGCCTGCGCCGATGCAGACCGGCCTCACGAAAACCGCCGGGCGCTGTGCAATATGAAACCATTTGTTCGTGCTTCAAACGACTTTGTCCATGAAAGCGTTAGCGGATACGCGACCGTACAGACGATAATTCGCAACTACGACACCAACGCACGCCATTGCCATGCCACCGGGCAAACATTGGCTAAGGCGTTCGGTATGACTCGAACAAAATGTGAAGCCCACTTTCTGAGGCCGTGTCACGTTCAACTTCCTGCCGCCGGGCACGCCCCCTCCCCCTCCCCTCGGACGACGGGCGTGTCACCTCCCGGCTCCAAGGTTTTCCTGCCTGTGACGGGCGTCCCTGTGCTCGGCAGGAGTCATGCCCCACTGCCTCGACCCCGGAACTATGAAGAAGGTGAAAACGGAACGGCGGGACGCCAGCAAGTCACCGCCGCTGTCCCGCGCCGCCAAATGAAGGCTGCCAGCGAGCTGACTCACGCCCTCGTGCTTTCCGCGCCCTGCTGACCTCTGATGTATCGTAAATCGGGAGCTGAAGTGTATTTTGTAATGTAATATATATTGATATTCGACGAAGGAGCAGTGTTTCTGGACAACCGTCTGTTTACGAACGATGTAGATACGCGTGTAAATCAATACTGTTGCACGGCCACGCATGTATAAAGCTGGTGAACGACATAAACAAGGCACATTATATTATATCGCCAAAAGAGGAAACGGGAATTTAAGTGTTTGCTTTGCATTTCATCGGGTGTATGTACTTACCGAACAGACGTAAGGGTATATGCTCACCACATCAACATATATAGACATCTCGATTTTCAAACAGGGTGACATTCCATACTAGTTTGTTAATTCTTGCTAGAGGGAATCAATAAGTTCAGTTTACCAGTCCTAAGCCACTGCCTGGAAAGTGGGGTGGCGCGAGATATCCATGCCAGTCTTTGTAAGCTCCACAGACGACCTGGATAAATGCATGCTGAATTTTAAGTCAACATTGTCAAAGACCGTTTACGCCCTCCGCAAGCAGAATACAAATATACCTACACAATTTTAAAAGTGCACATTAACGGATGACTTCCAATTTCGCTTTATGTTTAGTGTTTACAGCAGGCTGATTTTGAACTGTGACTTTTATCTTAAATGCAACTAAGATGAGAAATATATACTTTTTCTTAGAATAGCGCCAATCACAAAACGTGGCGTTCAGGTTCACGTCACGTCCAGTGCGATTCTGATTTAGGTAGCTTCTTTATTTATGGAGTAAGCGAAAGACTTGTTGATGACCCAGTCCAAGACCCCCAAGCAGACATGTGCGTGGATCCGAAAAATGGATCTGGGATCTGATCCCACGGATCCTGATCTCGGATCCGTCGGGATCGTAGATCCAGTTCTAAAATTTACCGACAGATCCGTAGGGATCATAGATCCGAGTCTAATACTTTTGCTTGAGATCCAGTGAGATCATAGATCCTCATTTATTTATTGTCAGCACAGAAATCCCAAAAATTCGTTCGTTGCAACTCACAAGCGCTCTTATTTAGTGATTTATGTGATAGCACATCATAAGCCATAGCGTTATGGCACTTATTGACATAGAAACACTTGCAAATTTATATGAGACTGTAAAGTCATATTTTAACCCAGGTATATTAATGATAATAAATCGTTAAGCGGACTGACTCTGGGTGTAAAGAAGTTATTTTCCCCTGTACTTCGACCTTTATTGACAGGTCTTCAAAGGGGCAATGCAAATGAATCGCATTGCCCCTTTGAAGACCTGTCAATAAAGGTCGAAGTACAGGGGAAAATAACTTCTTTACACCCAGAGTCAGTCCGCTTAACGATTTATTATCACTTGCAAATTTGGTTTAAAATGTTGTGCATTGTGGGATCCACTCAGATCATAGATCCATGTTGTTGGTTTATCATCAGATCCCGAGAGATCATGGATCCAGGATAAATTTTTCACGCCGTATCCGGTGGGATCATAGATGCGAACCTGCAGATTGCTTCGAGATCCACTGAGATCATAGATCCATCACTCGGATCCATGCACGTGTCTGCCCCCAAGACTTGTTGATGACCCAACTTTGGTGGATCCGGGGGTCAGGGGGAATATTTGGGGAAATCCCCCATCCCTCACAGAGCCCGAAATCGACTAAGATTTGCTGTTTTTCGAAAACAAAACGAAAACCAAACAACTTTTAGCAGAAAAGATTTGGTTGAATCCGCATAGCAGTGCATAAGGAATCGAAATCTGATTATTTCTTTTTAAAACCCGCGCCCTGCTGGGGGGGGTGTTTGAACACCCCCCCTTGTGGTTTTTCGCGAATGTCTCAAAAACGGCGGCGCGGAGCGCCGCCGTTTTTGGTACACCTTATCATACATCAATTCTACACATGTTGTAAAAATTTCAGACCAAGGTCATTCAAGGTCAGGTCACCAGGTCACTTGAAGTGACCTCACCTCATAAAAAGTTTCAATGTCTGTCATAGCTACACCGAGTGACCGATCGCTTTGAAACTTTCAGCGATTGCTAAGAGCAATAGCATGTACAAAATGTATATCTCAGAATTTTGATATCGATGACCTAAGGTCAGGTAACTTTTGCGACCTCCCCATTATAAGTCAATGGGAGAAAATTGAAATGCGCCTCCTTTGGACGAAAGACATTATAAACACTCCCAAACACTGAATTACAAGTGGTTTAGACACACTGAACATGAAAATGGTGTCCGTGACCCCTGTTTATGCCCTGAGGTCATCTTAGGTCACGAATGGTATCTAACAGTTTTTCGCAAATAACTTTTGATAGAGGCATGCTAGAGCGATTAAAACGCCTTAGATGTGTTCAGCTCGACGATACGGATCGACTGATATGCAACATGACCCTTTCCGGTCAGGTCATGACCTTGACCTGAGGTCAAATTTTCAAGTTGACCTTTCAAGGTCAAGTTATAGTTCATTCGATGCGTCTTGACGAGAGGAACACGATGCCGGTAAAAGTAAGCTCGTACATGGCTTGGGTCAAAAGTTATTGCAGAAAAACTGCTCCCGAAAAAATCGGCTATTTTTGCAGTTTTTGCCCCCTGCAGGCAAAACCGTTGACGTTAGGTCAAATCTGAGAGAATTACTCAGAAAGGGCGTTAATAGGGCTATCGAATGCGCTTTTCCGCGGCGCTGTAGCTCTATTGGTTCCCGAGTTATGCGTTGGCTTCTTGGAAATTGTCGACATTCGACCTGGAAATCGGCGAAATTTTGCCTTCAATGACCTCTGGTGACCTGACCTTTGACCTGACCAAAAAATTGACCGAAGTGATTTCCTCATTATTTTTTACGCTCTTTCGAACGCCGCCTTCCGCGTATCGCTACGGGGCCCAGGAGCCGAGTTAGAAGGGGGGGTGTTCAAACACCCCCCCCCCCCCCCAGCAGGGCGTGGAAATCCAGGACCCCCAGCCGGGCGCGGGTTAAGTTAGAGAAATTTGTTTGGAGTATGCCCTCCGTAGCCAGACCGCCTTTCTGGATCCGCCAGGGTGACCCAGCCAGGTCATGGAAGCACATAACTATCCTATTATGCTTGCTCATATTCAGCAGATATAGATGAACGGCTTTCATGTGAAATCGGATCTGAACATTTTTAAAAACTCCATAAATTGTCTCATTTTAATGAAGTAGGTTCTTGCAATTCATGATCACGATCTAGTCCACCCTAATATGGCGGACGGCCTACGTTTTACTCGTGCATGTATTGTGCGCCGTCAAGGCTGAATCACGTCCAGGGAGAGCCGTGCCCAAAGGGACAGCTCACCCAGCCGAGCTCAAGCCTTCTAAGTGAAAGGGTCAACAATTGCTGCTACATGGGAGCTGCTCTTACCGATCGCTGGGTCTAAGTGGGAGTGACCGTCAGACCAGAACAGGGGTGATAAAGCACTGATCAAGGATGAGGATGGCTTGGTAAGTCCTGACTTAGCCCTCGCCGGACTTATTGGTTTTCTACATACGCGCTGGCCGAGGGGGGGGGGGGACGAGTACGACCCCCTCGCCGTTTCGCCCCTGGTGGAGCTAGCGCATCGCGCGGAAAAATGAGCGTGTGCGCCGTTACGAGACGCAGAGATTGGTACCCAATTTTAAGGTCCTAAGTCAACCGATGACCTCTGAGGTCAGGTCAAGTGCCCCAAGGTACGGTTCAGTTTTTGGTGAATAACTTCGCAAAAAAAAACGGCCGCAGAGCCGCGATTTTGGCAGCATCGTGTTTGCATCGCTCAGGCGCGTCGAATGATATACTTTTTGTTTGGGTCAGGTCAACTTAGGGTGTTGACCTCAGGTCACGGTCAGGTCAGCACTCCCAGGTCACGAAGTTGGTCGAAAGAGGTCATGTCGCATATCATTCGATTAGGCAGGTCTTCCTGAGTCCATTGGTGGCTTTCCCGACTCGCTAGCTTAATTTGATCGGGAGTTATTGACGAAAAACTAGTATGACCTTGATGACGTCATAAATGACGTCACGCAAGGTCAACATTGCAAAAAAGACGCATCTAACCTTGCAAGGAGTGCATCAAATCATGATTCTGTGTGTTTTAGGTAGTTGGAGATCGTCCCCGGCGCCAGAATAGCAGTTTTCATTTTTCCCCATTGACTTATAATGGTGAGGTCACGAAAATGACCTGACCTCATATGACCTTTAGGAAAAATCCGAGATATACAAGTTGTGAGACTCATAATGGATACTAGATCCTGCAAGTTTCATTTCCCTGTGACATCTCCTCTGGCAGTGAGGGCGTTGCGAAGTTGCGACATCTGAAGACCGTGCAGAGGTTCACTTATGACGTCATAGGTCAGTGACCTGACCTGTCCCGAAAATGTGGTTGGTGTCAAAAGATTCGACTTGAATCAAAGGTCAGGTATGCCAAGATTCAGCTCTCTATCGCCAGCGTGTTCGGAGCTATAACGAAAAACCCCTATGGGGGGTGGGGGCGGCACCCGCCCCCCCCCCCCTCGGCCGGCGAGGGTTAAGAAAATGGGGGAAGAGTTGCCTGTTTGACACTGACATAACATACAATCGGCCAATATCCTTTTCCGGAATATACGTCTCTTGCTCTATCTATATTATTATTGATGTCTTTTATTTCTCCGAAAACAACCATAGGCCCAGTTACGGCTGCAATCATACCACATACAACACATACAAATTATGTCCAATGGCTTTGCATGATGCCTGCCATTCCGACTTTGCAGCCTGCTCATTACTCCATACATGAGACTGCTTCCCTGCAGTTAAGAACCTCTGCTAAGAAAAATATTCGCATATTGTCGGTAATCATAAAACAAATCACAAATACAGCAATTCTGACAAGCATAAAAATGTCGTTAACTTGATATTAATAGATCCGTGCGACATATGGCCAGTTTGGACTAATCATAAGCATGACATATAGCTTTGTTCTGTAGCGGGGCGACGGTGCTGTTTGACTGCGCTGCTGGTTGCTCGGCGACGGTTCGGCGCTGCCTGTGATGTGAGGTCACGCGATATAGCTGCACTGTGTTTGTGTGTCGTGCGGTCGTCCAGTGACTCG